TGAAAATTTCATGGACATTTATTAGTTCACCAAATTAATACTTTTATAATTTCTTATGCCTGTCTTTACTGCAGTCTCTGAACATAAATTGTGAAGATTTCATGGACACTTATCACTTCCTCAATCAATACCCTTGTGATTTCCTATGCCTGTCTTTACTTTGATCTCTTAATCCCATCATCTTCATAAGCTGAGGAGGATGTATGTCACCTCAGGACCCTGTGATGATTGCATTAACTGCACAAATTGTTTGTAGAGCATGTGTGTTTGAACAATATGAAATCTGGGCACCTTGAAAAAAGAACAGGATAACAGCAATGTTCAGGGAACAAGGAAGATAACCTTAAACTCTGACTGCTGCAGAGCCGGGCAGAAGAGAGCCATATTTCTCTTCTTTCAAAAGCAAATAGGAGACCTATCACTGAATTCTTTTTCTCAGCAAGGAACATCCCTGAGAAAGAGAATGCGTCCCTGAGGGGAGGCCTCTAAAATGGCCACTTTGTGGGCGGCTGTCTTTTATGGTCATAGACAAAGGGATGAAATAAGTCCTGGTCTCCCATAGTGCTCCCAGGCTTATTAGGACAAGGGAATTCCCACCTAATAAATTTTGGTCAGACCAATTGTCTCCTCTCAAATGCTGTCTCCTGATAAGATATTATCAATGACAATGTGTACCCGAAACTTCATTAGCAATTTTAATTTCAGCCCGTCCTGTGATCTCACTCTGCCTCATTTGCTTTGTGATATTTTATTACCTTGTGAAGCATGTGATCTTTGTGACCCACACCCTATTTGTACACTCCCTCCCCTTTTGAAAATCGCTAATAAGAACTTGCTGGTTTTACAGCTCAAGGAGCATCACGGAACCTGCTGACATGTGATGTCTCTCCCAGACACCCAGCTTTAAAATTTCTCTCTTTGTACTCTTTCCCTTTATTTCTCAGATCAACTGAAACTTAGGGAAATAGAAAAGAACCCATGTGAATTATCAGGAGTGAGTTTCCCCCAGTAGTTCAGTGTATAAGTGATTGTTAAAATATGCAGCCCTTTATATCCCAAAAGTACTAATATATTTTATTTCTATCTCTTCCTTGAGACAGATTCAACTAGCCTATCAATAAGCTTGGATGCAGTTCCTTCTTGTAAAAGAGCAAGGGAACTTAAAAAAGATCACTGTGAAAAACTTGCAGCAAAAATTGAACGAATGAAAAATAAGTTTTGTGCACTAAAAAAGGAACTATCAGAAACAAAAGAAATAAATTCACAGTTAGAGAATCAAAAAGTTAAATGGGAACAAGAGCTCTGCAGTGTGAGGTATGACGTCCTAGTTTTAAATGAATATTTCAACTATTTATACTAAAATTATGTAGGATATTTTTGTAATAGCTGACTTACTTTCTGAGGTTTAGCTGGAGAAAAAATTCTCTGTCTTGTAGAGTGTCAAATTCTTTTAAATAATACAAGTTCTTAAATGTGAATATTTCTGCTGATAATTAAATGCATATTTATTTAAATCACAATTTTAATGGCTATATAGAAGGCCATTATTTGGAAATCCTTACTTAACTTACTTAACAAATTAATTTTTTTGATTTTTAAATTTCTGTATTGTAAGTGATGCAAGGCATAACTGCATGCAAATATTTTTCTACCTTTCTAATTATTGACTTGGAATAAATTCTTCAATATATAAATATTTGACTAAATTATAAGAAGTTTATAAGAAGTTATTTGTTCGTTGCTTCTAAATTATTCTCAAGAAAATTTATATTCATTTACAGCTCAACAAACAGAGTGTGAAATGGCCATTGTTTTCTCCCCCAAAATCAATTTCTTTTAATTATACACTTTTAATGTGCATGGAATGTAGAGAAATTACAGAATAATTTATTAGTTTATTCAACATCTCTTGCTCTCCTACATAAATAAAATTAATTCAGAGTTCTATGTTAAATACATATTATTTTTATTCTTTAAGTATTATATTCTGTCTTGTGATAAAAGAGATTTAAAATTTGTTGATAAAATATATAATAATCAACAAGATACATTTAAAGCATTACTTAAAAAAGAAGCAAAAGATATATGGGATATCAGATATTAGACTATTTAACCTAATCTGAGATTTTAATATTAAAATTATTTTTAGGGATACTTGCCATATTTTATAAGTATGAATATTTATGTCTAATAAATCAGTATATTGTTCATAAAAACTAACCAGTTAACTTTAATCAGTCACTTTAATCAGTTAACTCTAAATGATCTGTCCTCATTGTGGAGTAATTTTGACTGTGTAAGATTTTTAAAAAGTAATTTTCAACTTATGAATTTGCTGGATAGCTTCTAGTATTCTTTTCCATAACAGTCATTGCTAGTTACAGAAACAGTCGTTAATAGTATGAGAAACTTTCTAACTAGAAGATGTTCTTTCCTCACCATTTTTCAAGTATGTATGTTATTTGGAAGAGGTTCGAGTAATAAATACCTGAGAACTAGAAAGAAAAAAAAATTCAAGAATATAGGAATTTTATTGGAATAATAAACCAATGTAGTAATAAATGTATCTCACAGTGAATTCTATTTTCTAACAAAATGAATTTTAAGATAAGTATGTTTAATGGCAGATTGACTTTAAACCAAGAAGAAGAGAAGAGAAGAAATGCCAATATATTAAATGAAAAACTTAGGAAAGAATTAGGAAGAATCGAAGAGCAACATAGGAAAGAGTTAGAAGTGAAACAAGAACTTGAACAGGCTCTCAGAATACAAGATATGGAAGTGAAGAGTGTAAGAAGTAATTTAAGTCAGGTAAATCAATCTCTGATAAAAATTTTATATTTCTAACTTTATTTCCCTCTGATTTAGTATGAATTATTCAGATCTAAATCAGACAAAAATGTTATCTTAAAATTATCACTTTTGTAGCTACGGTTATTTGTTATAAATTATGACATCCATGTAGTATCTTATTTCAGTACAAAGAGCTTTTGAAAACAATGATTATCCCTACCGTATACTTAGTGATAATTTATTAGTACGTAGTTTTTTCCTAGCAACATAGTTAACATTTAATACTGACTCAAACATTATGAAGAGGAAGCAAAAGTTATTGTCATAGTAAACAAGCTCATGGTTTTCTATGTAGGGCTCTCTAGATTTTATCATCTTTCTTTTGTTTTGGAAATTGAAGACTTCTTTTATATTTACATATTTACCCAGTAGAATTAACTGAGATTTGGTGGAGAGGTCCTGGATGTAGACTCATAAGACTGGGAGAAAATCCTACAACTTGTTTATATTTTTAATCTTTTCCTTTCAGAATTGTGATACCTAAAAGTGCTTGTTACAATGTCTCAATTTATCAAAAATTCATAAATATAATTCTTAAAATTAACTATATATTTTTAAAAAATAGAATATCTAGAGAATATTCTCAGGAAAAAGGAACTGAAAGAACTTTGGGAAATTTTTTCTGTCTAAATATATGCAGCACTAAGGCTCTTAGTATGGGATCTTGTATAAGTTAGACATCAGAGTGTAAACCCAGTTTTTGTAGGCAGTCAAATTGATTAATCTTTTATTTTATGCTGTTGAGTTTGTTGTAATTCAGGGAACATTTTTTTTTTTTCAATTCTGAGGCTCTTAAAAATTCTCTAATCATTTATTTTGTACTTTCATGAATTCATTGTCTTCAAATAAATGTTTGAACTTTGGGGAATTTATGCTCTATAGCATTTGAAGTTTTGATTCAATGGTTCTTCAACTGATACCTACTTATAAAAACCCTTTCATTGTATAAATGTACAAGTTATTCTTTAGTTTCAGAGGAACCATGATATGCCATTTTGACTGCTAGCTAAAAGTTTATTTTGTTTTATTTAGGTTTCTCACACTCATGAAAATGAAAATTATCTCCTACATGAAAATCATGATATGCCATTTTGACTAAGTGAAATAAAAGTTTATTTTGTTTTATTTAGGTTTCTTTGCTAATTTTCATGAAATTGAAAATTATTCCCACATGAAATCATGTTAAAAAGTAAATTGCTGCTGGGAAACTGAAATAGCCAACTGAAACACTCAACGCTAGAGAATGGAAAATAATGCCTAAGAATCCAAGATTTTAAATGAAAACTGCTGAACTTCAAAATGAAAACAAATTGCTGCATGCTAAACTGAAATACTTGAACTAAAACACAATGAAAGTGAATACCCAAGAAATGAATAGATTTTAAGAAAACTGTTGAATCCTCAAATGACTTAAAACTAAAGGGAATTATTAACAAAAAGGACATCTAAGATAGTGAGCAGCCTAAAGTTCCATGGCTGAGAGCACAATGCTCACTTCACCAGCTGAAAACAAGACAAAGAAAGATGGGAGAGGAGAATGAACTATAATAACTAGATCAGTTTCTGCTATACAAGACTGTGATCAAATTGTGACATCAAGAAAAGCCATGATTTGCTTTCACATTTGCAGGGAGATGCTTCTTGTGAAGGCAAAAATTAGAATGTTGATGTGGAATAATACAATATAGAATGCAATGAGGTGCTCATCAACCACTCAAACTTGCTGAAGCTCAAAGGAAATCCAAAAGCCTAAAAATTAATCTCAATTATGCAGGAGATGCTCTGAGGGAAAATACATTGGTTTCAGAACATGCACAAAGAGAGCGAGATGAAACACAGTATCAAATGAAGAAAGCTGAACACATGTATCAAAATGAACAAGATAATGTGAACATACACAATGAACAGCAGGAGTCTCTGGAGCAGAAATTATTTCAACTACAAAGCAAAAATATGTGGCTTCGACAGCAATTAATTCATGCACATAAGAAAGCTGATAACAAAAGCAAGATAACAATTAATATTCAGCTCCTTGAGGGGAAAATGCAACATCATCTCCTAAAAGAGAAAAATGTAATTACAGTAACCATTTAAAAGACTGTATATATAAATATGAAAAAGAGAAAGAAGAAAGAGAAGTAAGTATCAAAAAATATAAATACTTGTCAACCTTCCTGAAAGAAAATTTAAAGCATATTTGGTGTTGGTTAAATGCTGAATCTAGTAGAATATAAACAGATGATAAATATACTTACTATGTCAGCTTAGAAACATACCTCATCTCCACCAAATGAAAGTTAAAGCTGAGAGAGACGTTACACTTTGAGTAAAGACATTGTGTCACTGATGAAATTTTAAGTTTAAGATTTTTAATAGATGAACGTTAATGACATTGGGTTTTACTGTTGAAATAAAGGTTTTAATGTCTCTTTGTCACCACATTTTATGACCACATTGAAGCAGATAAATGGGAATGCCCATATCAGCAATTAGTATTTTGAAATTCAGATTCAGTTCAGCAATCTACCTTGACAATTAATTATAAATTTTCCAGAGGAACTGAAGTGTATTTGAAGTATATTTTGAAGTGTACATTTCTGCATCTTGTAATAATACTTTTTTTCAGTAGCTTTTTGTATATTTTAGTTGATATAATTTTATTTTCATTTATGTCAATTTGACTTAAATCTGAACATATTTGAATCTCAAATTATGTATTGTTATAACCTCTCAATTTTTTAAAGACATCTGCATTTTATTAAATAATACCTTAGGAAAAATGTAGTGAATTTTATAATATCAAATTTGATTTAATCACCCCACTGGTATTTATAACTTATTTTGAATATTGTTACAAATAATTTGCTCATAATTTATATTTCAAAGCTCAAAGACTATCATGTCCCAGAGAAAGGTCATTGCAGCTATCTGTGATTTATTAGCTTTGCATTGGATCCCCATTTTACAATTCATGTGGGGTGGCAAGGTTCATGTATAGTACAAAATAAGCGAGTAGAGAAGAGAAACATAGCAGTTGAGGTCAGGAGAGATGTGGAGAGCAGGTTACCTAGGGTCTCTAAAGGCTTTAAAATAAAAATAGTTTTATTCTGAGATAGAAATCTATTGGAAAAATTTCAACAGGTGATTGAATATGTGAGGAACTTTGATGTTGATTTGTGCTTCTAATATAGAAGAAAGAAAGCATTCCACTGTGTAGAATTTACCACCACCAGTCCTGCCCCAACTTTTTTTTTTTTTTTTTTTTTTTTTTTGGAGACTGCAGTAGGTTGTGAAGCATTACAGATTCATTAGGGGACAAATAAATGACTAGTGGGATGAACCTGGTGTCTAGTAAGAGACTACCAGTTTGGCAGGAAGATAGCACCTTCTTTTGTCCTTGAGTGGATTCAGTAATAAGCAGCAATGTGTACAAATGAAGAAAATAAGCTGAATCAATATATTTGGGGATTTTTTTAAAAGTAAATATTGTTAATTTGATAAGATGATTTACAAAATCAATAACAAATATGTCTTGTCAGGTCATTGTGAGACAACTTCAAAAACAATTGGCTGATCTCAATAAACAGTGTGTGTCTGAGACCTCACTAGAACTTACATCACATTATCACATTAATCTCAAAGATGAGATATAGGATTTAATGAAGAAATGATTTCAAGTCAAAAGTCAAGTATGTATTAAATGTAACATGCCAACAGTGAATCTATAGCTGGTTAAGTAATATAAATTGTTTTATGATATTAATTTCCATGGGAAGACTTCTTTTATATGTTCATTATAATTAGTTTTATTACAATTCTATTTATAATATGCTTATTTTAAAAACTGTGGCTATCATTCTGCAATGTTTTTCTTATAATTACCTATTTTTTCATAATATTTACCCTTAAGAAGATTAAGAATTATACATTGTTTATCCCACAAGTTGAGAGACTATTCTTCAGATAAACAGTATTTTTCAGTGATTTATGTTGCCATGGTGAGGCAAGCCATATTTAATCAAAGAAGAATGTGTAATGGAATATTCCAGAAAATTATCTTATTTCTTAGCTCCACTTTTGTGAATGGATGCCAAGGACATTATACTACTCTCCAAAATGCAAATGTTTAGGTTAATATACACAATATTTGAATAGCTAGGCAATTCTTTTATTTTTTCTTTTTAATTATATTGTATAAACATATACATATTTAGATCATGTGTAGTAGGCATATTCAAAATAGAAAATAAAGGAAATTATCTTGATACTGACATTGGATGTTTAAGAAGGAAATTTATTGGGAAAAAATTTCACGTATCATACAGTTCACACATTTAAATTGTACAACTCAATGTCTCTTAATATATTCACAATGTTGTATAACCACCACCACAATCATTTTCAGAACATTTTCATCGCCCTAAAGAGAAACTTCGTATGTCTTAGTCATCACCACCACTCACTGCTATGTTTCTCCACCTTCCCCAGTCCTAGGCAACCATCATCTAATTTTTGTCTTTATAGATTTTCCCGTTCTGAACATTTCATAGAAATGGAATCATACAATTTGTAGTGTTTAATGAGCAGCTTCTCTTACTTAGCGTAGTGTTTTTAAGGTTCATCTATTTTGTAGTACATATCAGTATTTCATTTTTATTTACTGTCCAATAATACTCTATTGCATGGCTACAGCAGCTATTCATTCATCAGTTGATAGATCTTTAGGCTGCTTCTCCTTTTGGCTATTGTGAATAATGCTGCTATAAGCATTCACTTACAAGTTATTGTGTGGACCTATGTTTTTATTTCTCTGCCACTGGATTTTACATTTACTTAATTGGGCCGATTTCCTTATCTCTCTGCCTTCCTCATGCTTTTCCTCCATTTTCAGTTTTTGTTCATCTGTCCTCATTCATTCAGACTTGGTGGACACATTTTCCATTTTCATGAAGCTTTCTCTGACTGTTCTGACTCTCATTGACCTTATGCTTCAGGATGTGTTTTCTAGTTGGTGCAGAACAATTTAACTTTCAGTTGTACATTGCTTTATTTTTTCATGAGACGTAATCATGTCTTATTATAAATTTACCTAAGCAGAGGATTATATCTGACATACATGCTACCTGTTATTATATAAATTGAAAATATTCTATCTTACCAGTTGTTACAACACAATTAAATTTATTATACTGATAATTTATTTTTTCAGACATTGACATAATAAAGTTTTATTTGAAATATATTTCAATCAATAAATATAAAACAGAAATCACTCTAATAGAGGAGAATTGTTCTAGTCAATAATCAAATTTTTTCTGACTGTTGAGAAAAATTATGTCTGCATTTTAAAAGTTTCAGATTTTGAAGCTTCACATTTTTGAGTAGGGATTTTCAACACACAGTACAGGGTCTCCTCAGTTTGCAGTGGTGTTACATCTTAATAAATCCATTATAAGTTGACAATATTGAGAATGATAAACATGGAAAACACATAAACTGTATCTAGAGAAAAATGGTTAATAAAAAAAGAAAAATCAAAAAACCATAAAAGAATGCTTACAGAGAATGAACGTAGTTACCTTATCCTGAAGTTAGGTAAGAATCAGAAATGTTATGGGGACCAAATGAGAGCTTTCAAAAAATTATCTTTCTTAGATCTGAATAAACAAACCTGGAGTATTGTGAACTGTTGATGACAATGCTTTGAGGGCATCTTTGGCACCAAAATATAAATATAACTACTTATTTTTTCACTTATTGTTAGCATTTAGTATTTTATGCATAAAAACTTTTTTACCAAATAAATTTTGGCAGTTTAAATTCCTCAAATGATACTAATGAAAGTATAAATCATTTTGGGTTGTTTTAAAAAAGGTTATGTTTCAATCTGTCATTATTGGAATAAAGTGTATAAACTGCATATTATAAAATGGTTTACACATATATAACTCGTGAACTCAAGAGAAATAATATTTTTAGGAAAGAAGAGTGTCTCTAGATTTTTAATAATAATTTAACTTCTTTAAAAGACTGAATATAGAAAAGAGAAATTAAATGAATGTACTGTGACTTAATGCAATCTCTGGAGCATAATTTGGATTGGGAAATAAAGAAAAAAAATGAATCAGGAAAGAAATAACTGGGTAAGGTTTCAATATTTTAGAACTTTAAAAATATATATTAACTGTAATTTCAACATATTTATTAAAACTGAGATATAAATTTGACCTAACCTGCATTTTTATAATTAAACAAATTATTCAATCTTAATGCGTTATCAGAGTCACAGCACAAACTGCAACTTTTTTGAATACCTAAATATCACACTCTTATTCTTTAATGATTTTGAAAACAATAATGGCAATGCCTTTGGCATATAATGTCAACTGCTCTCTTCATTATCTACTTTGAATTTTTATTTCTGAAGATGTGTTTGTATTTGGTAATCTTCCGGGTGGTAGTGTGCATATCTGCTGTTCTTTAATATCTGAAAATCTGCCCTTGTTGTTTTTAAACATCATCAAAAATTATCTCGATTAACTTTTATTTCAGTCTCTTTGATTCTGTTTAGTTTTTAAATATATTATGGATATTTACTTATTTTCTACTGGTACCTCCCATGCGTATGTGAGTTATGTATATATATCACTAAACTTCTGCTGTTTTTGATACACACACACACATGTGTATATATACACATATATTATATATATATGTTATAATAAAAATATGCATTACCTAAAAAAGAGTAAAATGAGTAATTGTGTTTCTGCCACCGAGAGTAAAAATAGAATTTTCCTCAGTGCCTTTGAAGCCCCCAACATGGCTGCTTTTCTATTTGCTGAGAACTTTAATTTGTTCTCTGATTCCAATTAATATTTTTCTCTCATTATCTTTCTCTGCATGGTTTTGGATGCCTTTCACTTTGTTAGCACTGTGCTAGCAAAGATCTTTAGATCTCTTCCTACAACTGTCGTTAAGTCTTCACATGATCTCTCATTTCCTTTTCCCTCCTCAACTCGGACTGTTTTCTTTTCTTTCTATTCTACTTTGAATAATTTTTGTGATAATTTTTGTGTGTGTATTCTTTTCTTCCTATAGACTGTGGTCAAAATGTATCAAAAATGTATTTTTGTGTCTTTTGCAAATATTCACATATAAATATGCTTTTCCCCTTTGATGCTGATCTCTGAGTGAAAACTCGTATTTAATAATAGGTTAGTATTTTATATTAACATATTAGGTTGGTACAAAAGTAATCGTGGTTCAAAAATCATGATTACTTTCCAATAAACTCCATATTTAAAATAAATATTAATAGTTTATTATTTATAAAGCCTATATATGGTTATAATGTGATCTTTATCTGTCATATATATTTGTAAGAAATTTTTCTTCATATTTACTTACATAAAGTTAAATTTTGTTGTTAGGAGAGATAATGTTTTCAAACTGTATTTACATTGAAACAAATAGAGAGAGGGATAATTTATTGATTTTGTTTCTTTGTAGGATTTAAGAACTTACATTTGTTTAAAAAAAAGAAAAGAAAAATTGTTAAATATTAATACTAAAATAAATATTAATAGTTTATTTATAAAAACTCTATATATGGTTATAATATCGATCCTTTATCTGTCATATATGTTGTAAAATTTTCTTCATATTACTTACATAAAGTTAAATTTTGTTAGAATGTTTTCAAACTGTGTTACATTGAAACAAATGAGAGAGGGATAATTTATTGATTTGTTTCTTTGTAGGTTAGAACACATTTGTTTAAAAAAAAAAGAAAAGAAAAGAAATTGTTAAATATTAGTCTGAAACATTTTGATTTAGTCATTCTGTACATTCCTGCAGATATAAGGAGCTTTTAGAAATGACAGAAAAGAAGTTAAAGGAATGTGAAAATGGAAAGCTTAATTTCCATGGAGATTTTAAAACTGGTCTACTTGAAATGGATATTCAGATGAATAAGCTAACACATCAAGTACGTTTTGGGACCAAAAGAGGTACCCAAATACTTTGGGGAAATAAAAATCTGTCAGTGCTTTGAGACGTGAAAGAGATTTGTTTTTTAATTTTATGGACTTAGAAGAATACATGTTTAATGTATTCTTTTTCTATAAGATGGGCATACTGCTCATTCTGTGTCTTGAACCCTGGCCAATGATATAAAAGCAAGCAGTACACCATCCTATGACTTCAAGTCACTAGTATCAAATCGGTTTTCTTGGTAACAATTTTATTGAGGTATAATTAACATGCCATGCAATTCACTCTTTGAAAGTGCACAGTTTAGTGGCTTTTAGTATTTTCACAGAGTTACACAATCGTCAACACAGTCTATTCTAGAATATTTTTATCACTCTTAAAAGAAATTCTACATTTTTGTCAGCCACCGGTTTCCCATTCCTTGCTCAGTTCTAGGGAACCACCGATCTACTTTGTTTGTATATATTTGCCTGTTCTGTACGCTTTATCTTGTTCACATCACAGTATGTGACGTGTTGTGACTGGTTTCTTTCACTTAGCATAACATTTTCAGGGTCCTCTGTTGTAGTAAGTATCGGCACTTCATTTCTTCTTATTGCTGAGTATATTTCATTGTCTAGATATAACAAACATTTTATCTACCCACACATCAGTTGATAGATCTTTAGGTTGTTTCCATTTTGGGCTATTATTAATAATGCTGCCATGAACTTTTATGTATAAGTTTTTGTGTTTGCATATGTTTTCATGTCTCTTGGATGCATACTTATGGGTGGAATTGAAGAGTCATATGGTATTCTATGTTTAACTTTATGCCTGAACATTTTCCAAAGCAGCTATACCATTTTTCATTAGCAGTATGAGGTTCTAATTTCTCATTTTACCAGGAATGATTCAATGCTAGTGGTGGGAAGTGGCACCCCTTTATGGTTTTGATTTGCATTCCCTAATGACTAATAATTTTAATCTTGTTTTAATGTGCATCTTAGCCATGTGTATGTCTTTTTTGGAGAAATGTATGTTTCTTTCCTTTGCCCATTTTCTAATTGGGTCATCTTTTTCTTTCTGAATGGTAAGTGTTCTTTATATATCCTAGATACAAGTTTTCTAAGAGAAATACAGTTTTCAAATATTTTCTCCTACTCAGTGGCTTGCCTTTTTACTTTACTGTTAGTATATTTTCAAGCACCACAGCTTTAAATTATAATGTTAATCCATAGATACAAGTTTTCTAAGAGAAATACAGTTTTCAAATATTTTCTCCTACTCAGTGGCTTGCCTTTTTACTTTACTGTTAGTATATTTTCAAGCACCACAGCTTTAAATTATAATGTTAATCCATATTTTGAGTTGTTATATCTAAGAAGCTACTGCCAAATGTAGTCATAAAGATTTATTCCTGTCTTTTCTTTGAAGAAACTTGTAGTTTTAGCTCTTAAATTTAGCTATTTTATTTTCAGATAAATTTTAAATACAGTATTTGCTGGGACGCCAACTTTATTCTTTTGCATATGGATATCTGTTTGTCCCAGAACCATTTGTTGAAAATGCTATTCTTTTCTCATGTAGTAATTTTGTTATCCTGGTTGAAAATCAATTGACCATACATGTGCAGGTCTATTTTTGGATTCTAAATTCTAAAACATTGATCTCTCTATTCTTATGCCAGTACCACATCAACTTACATGATAACTCTTTTTCAATCATTTTGCATATTACCAGCTATATATTATCGGGCATAATAAAAGTTCAATATAGAGAAACATCTTTACTTTTTGTTTCTTGAAAGATTCCATGGCAAGCTTATTCCTTGCTGACTCCATGACATGATGGGAAGTCAAGCTTACAGAGACAAGAGTCCTTTCCTTTGTTTCTCTATTCGAACCTTTAGTCTCTCATTGAATGCCTCTCTCTTGAGTCCCATTTCCATCTAGTCTTGGTCACATCATCTTCTTACAGTCTACTATTTCATGCATTAGGTTTTATTAACTCATTGTAATTTGCACAGTCATCTGTAGATGTTATCCATCCTGGGAGGAGAAGAGTCAGTCCAGGCTATAAGCTTTTCTCATTGGAAATGGAGCTAATTCATCATCTTGCAGTTCACAGGTAGATCCTCTTTTGACCTGGCACCTGATTCTTATGTATAACACCTGGGATGATCTTTTCTTGGTACAGTTCCTGCATTCTCAGAAATCACAATTCTCTGTAACTACTTCCCTCTGCTTAAATAGATCAAGATGCACAGGTATATTTTATAGCTTCATACATTTTTTTGGAATAAATATTTTATCCTATTCAACTAAAAAGTCTCAAAAGTTCAGCACTAAAAAATAGGTTATGTTCAGGCAATTTATAAGAGACAATAGTGAAATTAGTTTTTTAAATTTCAAAATATCAAAGCTAATTTTTTTTTTGTATGATATGAAGAAGGATTGTGGTACAACATAAAGATTAAATGGTCTTAACTTCTTCGTATAGACAAACGTGAAGTACAGTAAAGGGTACATTGTATTTAATTTATTAACATTCAAAACCTACTACATTTATTTTACTTCTGAGATGATTAAAAATGATTCTATAATGTTCTCTTTATTTTCTCATTGAGGAAAGGAAAATGAATAATGAATGCCAGATTGATTACTTCATACTCTGCGGCTTAGCTTTCTTAAGATTTTACTTCTATGAAATCAGATAATGTCTGATTTTGATTGTTAAACCAAATATTTTTAGTTTTCTAGCTGTTGCACTTCAAAACTTGCCTCTTTGCTTCCCTGCCTTACTGATTTCCTAACTTGAGTGGAAATCCTAAAGAAGCACACTTGCCTAGTAATAAGAATTTTTAATTAAAAGGAATTTTAGGAAATCTTTCTCCTCAGTAGCTCTTATGTCTGTCTGTCTTCTACTTTTCTACTGCTTCTCATTAGCATAGTTTGACATGAAAAAAATTAATATCAACCTCTACTAGATCATACTTTAAAGGTGACTAGTTCCTACTGTGTAAGTTTTCTATTGTAATTTTTTAAATCAATTTTTATTTTTATTGTTTCCTAACAATCACCCACAATTTAGTGGGTTAAAACAACATTTGTTGCATTAATAAATCTGCCATTTGGGAGAAGCTTGGCCAGGACAGCTTGTCACTGTTCCTCTTATCTTTCCTGGGGACAGCTCAAAGACCGGGAAAGTACAATAATCTGAAGGTTTGCTCAGCTGTGTGTCTTGTTGTTAATGCTGGCCATTGCCTGGAACGTTGGCTGTGGCAGGCAGCCAGATCACCTACATTGGAGCTTCTAGGCATTCATAAATGGAACTTGCTTTGAATAAATGGAATATGGTAAGAGTTACACCATGAGATTTGCAGCATTAGCTTAGAAAAGGCTCTCTATCTCAAACTGCTTGCGCTTGGTACCCCCTTCCCCTGTTTTAAGTGAGGATGGTCAGGCCACATACTATTAATTAGCTGTAAGTCACTAAGACTGGCCCGTATTATTATTTTTTTAATGAGATGAATTTTTTTATATTTTTAGTTGACATGTACATACATGTTTATGGGATATAAAGTAACAGTGATATCTTCTCTATATATGTATACACTGTGTAATGCTCAAATCAGGATAACTAGTATATTCAATACCTCAAACATTTATTATTTGTTTCTGTTGGGAACATTTCCAATCCTCTCTTCTAGCTTTTTGAAAGCATACCATAAATTATAGCTAACTGTATTCACCCTACAATGCCACAGAACACCAGAACTCATCCTCCTATCTAGGTATTAGCTATTATCAATTTAGTAAATATTGCTGATAAGTATTTTAAGCTTCAGCTTCTCGTTCATGTATTTAAAATTGCTTTCTGAATCATCACATTAGGGTAAATGGGGTATTTGTCACCTCAAGCTTTTATCCAATGTGTTACAAACAAATTAATTATACTCTTAGTTATTTTTTAAATGTCAATTAAATTGTTTGTTACTGTACTTTAATTTGTTTAAACACAAGCAGAAACTCAAAGGAAACTATAGCACTTAAGAGAGCATGGTATTGTTTCAATAAATAAGATGGAGCTGATAGTTAAAGATCTGGAATCTGAACTCTCCAAAATGAAAACTGTAGAAGACTTTAATAAAACAGAATTAGAAAAATATGAGCACCTCTGTTTACAGAAGAATTAAATTTAGAGATTTGTTGTCAAATGAACTAGTCAGTCAAAATATAATTATAGAAAATAAGCTCATTAATTTACCTCAAAAGATTAATTTTTAGTGAGACAGGGTCACAACATCAGTGGGAAGTGAAAGTTAACTAGATAATATAATTATGGAAACATGGTGTTAGTAAATGAACTGAGCTTCCAAATGTTTTGTCAGGAGAGTTTATGTCTGCTTCCACATTTTGTTGGTTTTATATGGCTTTCCCCTTCGATTCACATCTAGTCAACCTGATCCTAGTAGTCTTTCAGCTAAATTTTTGAAGCATTTAATTCAGACATTAGTATCGTCATTTAAATGACTTTTCAACATGTCCCCAAATAGAAATACTAATAAGTTTAACTATTGTTTGGAGGATTAAAATTGAGACCAAAATGGTCAAGTACAATTACTACTACATTTCACTTTCTGGCAGTTGGTAAATTAACTTTTCTTTGGTAGTGATCTTAAGAGATTATCATTAGACAGCACCCTGAGAAAACACCCTGTATAGTTTTCTTATTCTTTATAAAAACATCCTTGTGAAATGGGAATTACTAAATACAGAGATTAAGGGATGTATAATTCACAAAATGGTTAAAAATAACACTTTTGTTAGCCTGAGGGTGTGTGTGGAAGACAGAAGGACAGGCCCCACCTCCGATGCCTTGGTCACAATGTTAGTAGCTGACTGCCTTTGAAGCTGTTTTAGTTCTTTTTGTCTCCCCTGGGAGTTGTTTGTATGAATTACTTCTCAGTGTCAAATGCTTAATTGATCCCAAATAATGCGTGAAAATGTACAAAAATGTTAAATCAACGCCTGAAAATGTATTTGAGGGATAATTTTTTTTAATCTTTAAACTGGTTTAATAAACACATATTTATAGCTTTTTTAGTTTTAGTTTCTTAATTGTATGTATTTAAGAAATACAACATGACGTTTTGATATATTTCTACATAGTGAATAGTCATGGCAGGCAAAAAAACTTTGTTGAAATTCTCCTAAAATATATATGTACTTTTTAAGAACAATTTAAAACCTATAATTACATACATTAGGCATGCTCTCACACGTCTTCATTGTTAAAGTACGGTTTAATAGGAAATGTTATTTATTCTTATACAAGGGTTTTCTTTTTAAATACAAGTCCTTTTCTAATTATGTAGGATAAAATAAAATACTAAGCTTTTTCTTTTGCAATCTTCATAGAACTCATGAGAGACAAGCAGAGACCAGTAAGAAACTTCTTTTGGAGAAACAACAGACCAGATCTTTATTCACAACTCATGCTAGGAGGCCAGTCCCAGATTTACCTTGTGTTGGAAATCTTACCAATAGTTTGAGTCGACAGAATACTTATTTTAGAAGAAAAATTCATGATTTCTTCCTGAAGCCTACTACATAAAATAACAGTGCAAAGACCTACTTGTTCAAGGTTAGTTATATTATCTTTCTTCCTTTGGTTTTCAGATTTCTGATGCAATTCTTGTTTTTAAGTAGGTGAAATACTGAGTTAATTGACTTCGTATGTTAAATAATAGTCCAGCAGCTACCTGTGTTAACAAGAAAAAACAGAAATTTTACTAAAAGTCCCTGGAGTTCTCATTTTTATGAAATACCTAGTTGTTAACTTCATTCAATAAACTTAAATAGCACATTTTGATTTGCTTTAAAAACTGCATTTAAGTTATATTTTAGAAAGTGAATATTATTCCCTAGTAACTAAGCCATATACTTGGAAGGAGATGTTTTCGGCTTGCTTTCTGATTGGTTTGAGTTTAACTGTTGACATAACACTTTTAATGCTTTCTTGTACCATCTCAAGTTTTGTGCCCCTAATAAGAAGTGAATGTTTGACATCCAAACAGTTAATCACATGTAGATGTTCATTATTTAAAGTAATCTAAAATAAATACATTTATGAAGTAAATAAACATGGAACACTTAAAGGATTCATTTTTTTGTTTTTAAGTTAAAAGTCTTATAATTTTTTTACACAAGACTGGAGTCTTTAATTGCCACTATACCTCATCACTTTTTTCTCAGTTTTTGTAAACTCTCTGTTATTGCTGTGCAATTTTACAATAGCTTGAAAATAGCTAAATCATTCAACTCTTTAAATTTTTAAATGATATTCACTTGTATTATCCTTGAAATACTGATGACTAATAACTTAAGCAATGATATTGTAGGTCTTTTAATAGCAATTACAACCACACATAAACCATTATCTTCTTTCTACAGAATTCCATAAGCTGTACAGGGTTCCATTTACCTTGATGATGTAGCAGACATCTTACAATCCAACTAGATGATTTTATTCATAGTGAGAATCCATTTCTGAAGATCCCAAAATGATGCCAGCAATGACAAGATCTATAAATTAAAGCATTGATTATAGATAGATAGAGAGATAGATAGATAGATAGATAGATAGATAGATAGATAGATACTCCATTTTTTGACTGGGAGAAATTTTAAAACTGTGTGCAGTCATCCTATATATGTGCTTCATAGGAGGCTGAGTAGGCAAAATAATCACTTGAGCCCAAGATTTACAGGCTGTAGTGTATCATAATCACAGCTATAAATAGCCAATGCCCTCAGCCTGGGCAACTTAGAAGTCCCTGTTGAGAAAAAAAGCAAAAACAAAATAGAATTACATTAAAAAACCCACAATTTTTTGAACTAAAATAAATAGGTAGGAACTAGTTTTCAATGTGTATCACTGTCACTGAAATACCCATTTCCATCAATGCACATTGGCTTATAGTTTTGATGGTGATTTCACAGTCTCTTTAATGCAGAGAAAAGTAGTGTATGCTTATGTTAAATGAAATGTTTTTTCTTTACCTGGCTTCATATTCTAAAAAATTCTAGAGGAGCAAATCTAAACTTTCTCAGACAGCATTGCTGCTAAATAAGGGAACAATTAAGCGATTGTTTTAATACATAAATTAGATGATCCTAGCTAGCTGGGTTTTAATTATTTTGATAGCTTAGTTTTATTTTTCTGAAAAAGAGTATTATGATCAGGGTCTAAGTGCTTCAGGGTCATAAAACTGCACTTCTGGGTACAAAAAGAGGAAGAATGTTAAATACTACTGTGAAGTTTAATCATGATGCACATGTGAAATTTTCTTATCTTTTTTTTTCCAGAATAATCTGACTCATGTATAATTTCATAAGATAATGAAAGCATGTATAAATACGAATGTAGTGCAAGCAAAGATTTTTTGAAGAAAATATTTTCTCTTAGTTTTTAGGGGGCAAAGTGCTATTTATTTTTAGTATTTCCAGATATGTTGAAAGACAGTTCATCTTAAACTTCATTAGTAGTTCCAAAGTGCAGGGGTTCCTTTGTGGGCAATTGGTTTGCCAAATCATGTTTGACTTAATAATTCTATGAAGATTCAGTGACATGTTTTCATAACTTCTTTAGAATGACCTGAAAAAGTTCTTATGTAATTGTTTACAAAACTCTTAGAGATACAGAAAGAAGGTGCCTACTAGAGTTGCTAAATTTAATTATTCTACTAGGAAAACATCTAATAATACTATGAGAGTTGGTACAGATTATCTAAAATAATACAAAAGGTAGGTTTTAGAGAGCATTACCTGAAACAAGAAAGATATTTAGACATTTTTGGCTATAATTCTAGAAAGTAAAATGTTAAAATATCTAAATATAAAATATGTTAAAATCGCATTGATACTGAATGTATTTGCTCTTTCTTTATTTACAAGGTTGTGATATTTTGGAATATTATTGTTAATTTGAAGTTCTTTCTTATACCGTTTTTTTAAACTGTAGAGAAACTGATTATAATACCTCATTTTTGTTGCATGTGATGGAAGTTGTGCTAGATGTCAAAGCCAGTGTTCTCTATGTTGATCTCTTTTGCCAGTTCTTGCACCTGTCACCAACACATTAAAGTTTAGCCTTACCACTTAACACTATGATGGCTATCATAGATAACTATGTATACTTTTCAAGCGTTTACTTTGTTTTTATTTAAATTCTGAGATGCTTTGTTCCATATATGGGAAGGAATTTTATAATTTTATTGGTTCTTTAAAAAATTATATTGTAAAATTCAAAAATTAAAATTAGCTTCAAAAATACATCCAGTCATTGGATCCTTTTACATAGAATGTTTTGTGATAACTGAAATCTTCACTTTATACCACATTAATGAAAGATAAGGCTTAAGCTGGTTTAAAGTTTTTTTTTAGGTTTGAAAGTTGTATAGTACCTGTGTGTCTAAGACAATGTATGGCACCCAGTAGTCACTTGGTACATGTTTTTTAAATGTTTGAGAGAGGAAGACTCATTTCTACATTGATTGGATTTGGACTTCCAGTACATTACTGACTCAAAAGGTTTCTAATAATTTATTTAAGTAACTTTTCTATTTCTCAAATGTTCATTCAGTTTAGCAACTTCTTTTCTAAATGTAGTTATACAGATATGTCCAAGCTAAAACCACCTTTCTGGGCTAGCTTTTACATGGTGGAACATTGTGTTGCATGGTGGAACATTGTGTTGCATGGTGGAACACTGTCATATCAGAATGTTGAGTTGCACATTTTCCACAGAATGTTGAGTTGCACTTTAAATATATGTGTGGATCTATGCTTCATCTATCAGGTCTTTGGTGAATGAAGTATTCCCCATTTTCTTTCTCTGTGACACAGTGCATGTTTTTAATACTCACAAACTAGCAAGTATAATTGCCTTCAGACATTATTGATATTTTGATCTTGAATTGCAGTGGTTTAAATGTGCAAACCTATTTGATTATACTACATGGGAGTGTATAATTACTGTCATAAACTTGAGTACTCAACAAAATACAGATGATATTACATTTTTAATTTAAAAACATGGTTACTTGAAAATATATTAATTATGGAAAAGTATGTGTGTGATGTATATGTATTTATCAAATTGGTCTCAAAAAGACAATACAGCAATATTTTTAAACTTATAATATCAGGTACAATGTAACAGTAGCCTGTCACTAAGTTATTGTTGAAATAGTGAACATTGTATTTGTTGGGCTTTACTATTGTGATTGATTTTACTATATTTCTTTATTTCCTTTTTTTTTTTTTTTTTTTTTTTGAGACAGAATCTTGCTCCTGTCACGCCCAGGCTGGAGTGCAGTGGCGTGATCTTGGCTCACAGCAAGCTCCACCTCCTAGGTTCACGCCATTCTCCTGCCTCAGCCTCTCAAGTGGCTGGGGCTACAGTTACCTGCCACCACACCTGGCTAATTTTTGTATTTTTAGTAGAGATGGGATTTCACCATGTTAGCCAGGATGGTCTCGATCTCCTGACCTCGTGATCCTCCCACCTCAGCCTCCCAAAGTGCTGGGATTACAGGCCACTGCGCCCGGCCTGATTTCACTATATTTCTTTATTTACAATCTTTATTCCAGCCCTTTCTCTTGTTAACATGGGGGGTTGTGTTGAAGAATATAAAGTTACAAAGTCAAGGAAGTAGGAAACATTTTTACAAGTGTTATGTAGCCATCTTGGTGGGGCTGTAGTGGGGAGTAGGCTGCAAATGACGCTCCTGACTCTCTCAGGAGTTCAGAACATAAGAATCAAATGGACAGACATCAACATAGCAGCTTTATTGCTGACTTATGACAACTCATGGGAAGATGTGGCTCAGATGTGCAGCCACAGTGAGCTTCTGAACATTTCTTCTCAGACCCCAGGGCTCTTACACACAGTTGCAAATTGGAAGAAGAGATACTTGACACTGCCACAGGAGCAGGCAGCTTCCTGCAGAGATGACAGCCAATCCAAACTCATGTCACTGTAGGCAGACACACGTTTGCAAAGGGACTCAAAGCCAAACAAATACACTCAATGTGCTTTGCCCAAATTTACTCATTGCTAAATCTTCCCTCCTCCCAAGAGGAAAAGTAGAGAACAACATGAGCCCTCACATGGAAACTTGAAGCCAGGGAAATGAAGGCTCACAAATTATTGTGCATGGAGTTTAAGTTATCCTTGAAATTCTAGGGTTCAAAGAACTTTTTCTTTGCCATAATATGAAATTAACCAAACCGAGAAGTTTAGATAAGAAGTATGCCTAGATGGTGAAGAGAAATCTGTTTTGTGTCTTCAATTTTGCTAAAAATAACCCAGAACATGGATAATTCATTTATTAATTGATTTTGGTAAGTCAAGTCCTGTTTGGAGAAAATTAATAGTTTTTCTAGAATTTTCTCAATATCACCTGGCTTGGTAAGTTTTCTCCCTTTGAGTTCCTTTTTTCCCTTTTTCTATTTTTTTTTTTTTTGGAGTTTAACAAACTTGTTTTTTACAAATTGATTATGTTGACTGTCACTCAGAGATGTTATGATATTAATTTCTATTGCTTACTTTGTATTCATAATTTTAGAATTCACTATTTA